CTTTTAGCGACATTCGATGCTATAATAGGTCCATCAAGTTATTAAAAAAAAATAGTTTTGAATTCATGCCTTTGTTTCATTTCCATTTATTTTCAGATAATTGTTCCCGCAAAAAATGTTGTGGAAGATCTGAAGGCTGAAGAAGGCAACACGAAAAAACTTCTCGAAAACGTGAAGTATCGTGTTGGCTGGGAGAAATATCAACGAGCGCAGAAGGAAAAAGAAGATGCAGAAGTATCATTTTATACATTTTTCATCCTTTTTAAAGAAAGGCGGATTCCCACTCGCAGTTTTCCTAGTTGCTATTGCGTATTGTCATTTTAGCTATAGATTTTTCATACAATGTTTGTTCTGTAGCAGTTTCCATGTTCGTTAGTTTCTTGTCCAGCCCGATCGTGGCTTGTTTTGTTCAGACTTTTTGACATTTATGTGAATTCCCATCTGAAGTCACACGTCAAGACGTAATACGGATCGAAATTTGTTTTAATATCGCAGTTACGAAATCACTTTCTCGTTGAGCGCAAGAATTTTTGAACATTTCTCAGCTAGTTAACTACTTTAGACCTTACCAGTCGATTTACCGTCCGCCTCTGCAACCGAATTGAGCTCCTACATCGCTTGTTTAAATTTCCTTTAGTGGGGAAATGACCAACAAAATACTTAGAACGCATACTGACGGGTATGCAGAACTTGGGGCATCTGGATCAGTCTGTAGTCTGGCTCCTCCATTATGCAACATGCGACTTTTCCGCTGATTTGTTCAGCGCTTCATTGCCTGATGGTCATTCTCGCAGCAGTCATCCCAGTTTTCGTTTCGTTTCCTGTAGGGATTATTAGCCCAACGTTTCTTCGAGCAGAAGCACTTAGCAAGACTTTGGCGTTTCGAGATGTCCTCGACGTATGTTAACATCTAGTTCAGGTAGCGTCCGAAGCCGCTTCGCCTCGGACGGTGCCTGAGATAGACAACCATGAAATGTTATCTTAGTGATTAGGAGAAAAGTACAGTGTAGTACGCTGTGAACTGTATCCCCACACATTCTGGTAAAGTCATATCGCTGAGGCCTACTTTTTAGGACGTATCTTCTCCGCTGTAGTAAAAACTTCCTCAGTAACGTGGAAGCCGTTTGTTCTACTGCAAATTCTCTGTCCACTAACGGACTCGTAGGTTCATTTTAACGTTCTTTGGCATGAAGTTGGTGCAGTAATTCTACATTAAACAAGTACTTAAAATGCAAGTAACGTTGGGCTCTTTAGCTCAGCAATGAATATTTCTTTATCGAAGTTCGGCATAATTGCTGACTTTTGAGAGTACGCGATATCAGCGTGTGCATTTGTGTATGTGTTTGTATTTACATGTGTGTGTATATATGTTTGTTATCCATCCAAAAATACGTTTATCCAGCAACTTTAAGCTAAACTGGCACAGGCAGTGAAAAGCCATTTTTTGTCGAACTGTGCCAAGCCTGTAGAATAAAATCACCTTGTCGTTTGCTTCCACTTACCAAAGGTAATAATTTTAGAAGCTATGAAATGAGAGTGAAAAACTCATGTTTTTTTTTAGGTTGAAAGAGAACGAATTGCATATGCCCAAATTGATTGGCACGATTTTGTGGTGGTGCAAACTGTCGATTTCCCGGTCAACGATTCAGGTCAGTTTTTAATCTTTTTTCTTGCATCTAGGAGATGCAAGAAAAAAGATTATTTTACTGCCATGCGCATTTCATCGTGGAAATTGACTTGGTTCATCGTGCACATTGACTTGGCGTAGGAGAAATGGGTAGTGCAAAGAGGCATATTTGCACAAAACCCAAATAGCTTCCAGCAAGCGGAATTTTCCCTTGCCTGAGTAAGTGTGTGACGCAGGTCATGGCTAGCCGTTTAAGTAGGTAATAGTAAAAAAGCCGGAAACTTTTCCAGTTGACCTTGATTGTCCGGTAGTCAGCATGCTGGCGCTACCAATGCACGTTTCGTCTCCTGACAGAATTGTTTGACTTCCCCATCAGAAATGTTTTAGTCTTTCTCAAATGTGAAGGAATTTAAGAAAGTAGAAAAGATTTATGAGTACTCGAGAAAGTTTGAAAGTTATTAAAAATTGTTCAACAGTTCAAGAAAAGTTCTGATTTGAAAATCAACAAAAACCTTCGTTTTCAGCAACACTTCCG